AGTCCGTGATTGTCCGTAGTTGATACGTGTTAGCTACGGCACAGACGATATCGCCGAAGTTCGGCATTGCTAACCTGCCGAACTTCGGCGTATAAATTACGGACAATTACGGACTTGTGAAGCGGCACACCCCATCTACTTCGGGGAGCCGACGATACAACTTTAATCTGACTACAACTACTGCAGATAAAGAACATTTGAAAACATTCAATCTTTGGGTTACATTTTACGTATAATCAGAAAGACTACATCATCAGAAAACTACCCCTATGTTGTAATTAAAAAAATAGCGTTCAAGCCCATACTCACAAGTTCCATAAAATGAGCTATTGGTCCCTCTTTTGGCAATCCCAGTCCGGCAAGATGTCTCTCAAGGAAGATGTGCTCGTAGAAAGGAACCTAAACGATGTAAAATCCAATTATAAAAGTTACTTTGGCAGTGTTTGTCAAGGATAGTAATGAAAATATCTCTGCAGAAGAACGAACATCAGCTTCAGGTCCCATCAAATACTCGTTATCGATTGGATATGGCCACTGCTTGCCGTCTTCGGTCCATTTTATTTGCTCTTCAAATGAGTTCTCGGGACCAAGCGATTGATTCATGATCCTAAAAATGACATTTCTGGCTATCAGATGCAAAACATCTTTCGAAAATCAGAAGTGCTTGTCAATCCCAGAAAAAGATGGATAAACTTAAAGTAAGTATTTGGCTGACAACAGCAGACATGAAAATGTATGGCGTCTAACCTCGCCGCTCTCAAATCCCAATCTTTCCAAAACCCGAGTTCCAACTCTTGACAGTCATCAAGGCTCTTCCAAATGCCGAGTCGTTTTGAAGTCTTTAGTAAAGATGGAACAGCTGGATCAGGTTTGATAGTCTTTCGAGCTTTCATGCCAGGGGTAACCATGTCGTCGTGATAAAGCATTTTTCTAGAGAAGCCAGAGTGCATGCTTATTCAGAAAAAAATCCTTTAGAAAGAGAAACAGTAATAGTTAACCAAAGTGAATGAAATCAAGGTGTACACCGAAATAAGGTCTTACAGTGATGAAAACCTACTCAGCCATCTGCATCGCATAATCATAGAATTTCTGTTCGGATTCGGCCCTCTGTATTTTTTTCGCTTCTTCCGCTTCTTCTTCTGCCTGATGAGAGCTTTCAATAAAAAATACCGATATTAAAGACATGAATTACTTTGACTCCTTCAACTTTCGCTTTTCTTTGAGCAGTTATTCGTTGTTGAGCCTCATTCACAGCATTCTCCGCTAATTTTTGCGCTTCTGCCGGTTTCACTCCGCTCTGAAAAACAGAGCATTACATCAGTTCAACTATTAGCCTTACATCAATTCAGCTACTCATAAGAAAGAAGCTGCAACAT